ATTGGGGAGGGTATGTGCTATGGTGAGCGCTGTGAATTGTGTAAGACTGATGAATCACAGACCTGTACCTCTGAAACAAATGGGGGGGGTGGGGGGATGGGTTAGCCTGTGATGGGTATTAAAGAGGGCACGTATTGAATGGAGCACTGGGTGTCATATGCAAACAATGAATCATGGAACACTACATCAAAAACTAACAATGTAATGTATGGTGATTAACATAACATAATAAAATTAAATTAAAAAAAATAAGCACATGGTATATTAAAGAATCAAGACTTTACCATGATAGTGGAGGGAGAGTGAATTTCTATTAAAGTTTACCACATCAGAAGTGAAAACTGGGAATATTTCAAAATATTTACTAATCTCTTTAAAGATAGTAACTAAAGTCATTACAGGTTAACATAAATAACATTTTTTATGAAAAATAAGTAGATTTTCCAAAACTGAAAATTTTTTAGAAGAATGGTATTTTACATTTTTGCAAATTTCCTTAATGTCTGGCTCAACAGAAGACAGCCAGATTCTCATATCTACTTCTACGTTCAATCTGTTGTGTTGTTGCATATCATCAGCCTCTGGAAAACAACACTGTACACTCATGAGAGAATGAGTATGAAAAAAGCAAACGGTAAACTCTAAGTATGAAAGTTAGGTTTGACCTTGCAGACGCTCTGAACAACACTTTTTGAGAACTCCTGCCATAGAGCAAGTCAAGAGAAAAACTGAATTACACACTAAAAATGTAACTAATAACTTTTAAGGCACTTTTGTTTTATAAACAGAAGAATATTTTTATATTGCACATATTTCAGTACTAAGTAAATTACTTTGTGAGGAAAACTCTTATTTGAATTAACATTTAAATTACTTTAAAAACATTATGATTTATGTATACAGAATATTTTGAAGAATTAGTTACATCTCATCGGGATGGCTCCTATGACAATATATTTTTCTAATAACTACTCATGCTTTTTAAAAAGACCACGAGGAATACTGATACTGATGCTATGTCATTAGTAAACATGTATGATCCAAAGAGTTTTGGAAATTTTCTAGGATCTTATAAAATAGATTATTTCCAAAACATGAGGTAAGCCTTCTTTAGAACATTTATAACACTGACATATTTTATTACATTGACATATATTTTATTTGGTTAATTAATATGAGTTACCTTTCTGAAGACATGACAAACACATGTGGGTCCCTTTGAGCTTTATTTAGATTTAATTTGGTGCAAACTTTGCCTATGAATAATTATACGAAGGATCAATCCATCCTATTTATGGATCAGTGATAATCACAGCATTTACTGAGGTCTGATGTGTGAGGAACTGTTTAGAGTGCTTATTTAAGTGTTATTATCTCATTAATTCTCACCAAGAATCTGATCAAGTAGTTATTATCCACATTATAGACGAGGAAGATTAAGGCACAGAGAAATAAAGTCATGGTTTTCAGAATATAAAAATTTTAGTTCCTTTGAGGGCAGTCATGTCTGTCTGTCTCTCACACAAAAAATGTTCTTTTTAGTATCTAGAAATGATGCAGGTAGTATGAGGGTTTAATACCATAGTAGTAAATATATTTTGAAATATTTTTACAGTAATGCTGATAAATTCAGTGAATTAACCTATTCATATTTACTAAAAAGACTGTGTAGGACTACTGAAGCTGGTGGTATATCATTAGTAAAATCCTATGCTGCAAAGGTCACAGAAAACATTTTGAGGTTAGTATCTGATAAAACACAATGTAAATTTTGTTACGTGAGCAAATACACATATTTGAGAGGCAGTTTAATGCAGTTGGGGTTCAGAAGTCTGTATGGGAACTAAAGTCACCTCTCTTACCCTAACCTCACTTTTTTTTTTTAAGATTTTATTTATTTATTTGAGAGAGAGAGCACATGAGAGAAGGGAGGGTCAGAGGGAGAAGCAGACTCCCTGCTGAGCAGGGAGCCTGATGCGGGACTCGATCCAGGGACTTCAGGATCATGACCCGAGCCAAAGGCAGCCACTTAACCAACTGAGCCACCCAGGAGCCCCTCACTTTCTTTATGTAAACATTTTCTTTGATAATTTATGGATAGTAAGGGTATTTATAAACCAAATAGTAAGGTAAATTACCAAGAGACAGAAATAGAAAAGGCCAATAATGGTGCAACTATTGCCAAATATTGGATGAATATAATTTTGATCACAAATTTTAAGCCATGATTTAAAATCAAAATGAAAATAAAATGTTATTTTCACAAATTAAGTTTTACTTGTTTGAAAGAGATCTGAGAAAAAGCTATATCTGTATTTTAAAGAAATAAGCTATGGTCATATTTTGTTCAGTTTTACAGCCAGAACATAAATATGTGACAATTCATTATATTTACTTTGTTAATAAAAAGATACTTCTAAAGTCATCAGACATAAGTAATCCCCAATTCAACAGATTAATTCTACATATTTGGAGGACATGTCAAATTATGATAAGTGGGGCAATTATCACCAATACAGGTGAAAATTTTTAAACAAAAACATTAAAAAATATATTTTAAAAATATAAATGGATATAAGGAGGATATACTACATGCTCTATAAGATATTATATATATAGTTTATTTATATATAGTTAATGAAAATAATACCTACTCTTTGAAATTCCACACACTGCAGAATTGTAATATGTAGAAAGAGAAAGGTTCCTCATTATTCTATCTTCTAGGCTTAGCACTATTTGAAGGTTGATGTATATAGCTCCAGAATGTTTTGTTTCACAAATAGCTACACCACATCATTAATAATTCGTAATTAAATGAAAATTCAGAGGACAATGCTAAAAATAGTGTTTATCTCTAGGTAGTGGAATTGTAAGTGATTTGTAAGTTATTTGTTTTTTGGGTATTGAGTTTGATATGTTCTTTATAGGTTTTGGATACTAGCCCTTTATCTGATACGTCATTTGCAAATATCTTCTCCCATTCCATAGGTTGCCTTTTAGTTTTGTTGATTGTTTCCTTTTGATTGTGCAAAAGCTTTTTATCCTGGTGAAGTCCCAATAGTTCATTTTTGCTTCTCTTTCCCTTGCTTTTAGAGACATGTCTAGTAAGAAGTTGCTGCAGCTGAGGTCAAAGAGGTTGCTGCCTGCGTTCTCTAGGATTTTGATGGATTCCTGTCTCACATTTAGGTCTTTATTCCATTTTGAGTTTATTTTTTGTGCATGGTGTAACAAAGTGGTCCAGTTTCATTCTTCTGCACGTGGCTGTCCAGTTTTCCCAACATCATTTGTTGAAGAGACTGCCTTTTTCCCATTGAACATTCTTTCCTGCTTTGTCAAAGATTAGTTGACCATAGAGTTGAGGGTCCATTTCTGGGGTCTCTATTCTGTTCCACTGATCTATGTGTCGTTTTGTGCCAGTACCATACTGTCTTGATGATTACAGCTTTGTAATACAGCTTGAAGTCTGGAACTGTGACACCTCCAGCTTTGGTTTTCTTTTTCAACATTATCTTGGCTATTTGGGATCTTTTCTAGTTCCATACAAATTTTAGGATTATTTGTCCTAGCTCTGAAAAATGCTGATGGTAGTTTTTTTTTTTTAAAATATTTTATTTATTTGTCAGAGAAGCACAAGTAGAGGGAGCGGCAGGCAGAAGGAGAAGCAGGCTCCCTGCCGAGCAAGGAGCCCAACGCAGGACTTGATCCCAGGACCCTGAGATCATGACCTGAGCCGAAGGCAGATGCTTAACTGACTGAGGCACCCAGGCGTCCCAATGCTGATGGTATTTTGATAGGGACTGCATTCAATGTGTAGAATGCTTTGGGTAGCATATGCATTTTAATAATATTTTTTCTTCCAATCCATGAGCATGGAATGTTTTTCCATTTCTTTGTGTCTTCCTCAATTTATTTCATAAGTGTTACACAGTTTTCAGAGT